ACTACACGCGCTGTCTCCTCTCAACACAAAAAACATAAAATTTTGTCCGCATGCGAGATGCTTGTCGATACACCTGAGACTGTATGCCGGAGACAAAAAAAGGAGACAAAAAGGAGACAGAAAAGAGACAAAAAGGAGGCAAAAAGGAGAAAAAAAAGAGACAAAAAGGAGACAAAAAGGGGACAAAAAGGAGACAGGTGGGGGATAGAATAGAGACAAAAAGAAGGCAGAAGAAAGGAGACAAAAAGGAGACAGAAAAGAAACAAAAAGGAGACAAAAAAGAGACAAAAAGGAGACAAAAGGAAGGCAAAAAAAGACAGAAATGAGACAGAAAAAGAAAGAGACAAAAGGAGACAGAAAGGAGACAAAAGAGAGACGACAAAGAAGAAAGGAGAGAGAGAGAGAAAAAAAGAGAAAAGCAGACAGAGAGAGAAAGAAAAGAGAGAGAGAAAAGGAGACAGAGAGAGAGAAAAAAAAAAGAGAAAAGGAGACAGAGAGAGAAAGAAAAAAAGAGACAGAAAAGGAGACAGAGAGAGAAAGAAAAAAAGAGACAGAAAAGGAGACAGAGAGAGAAAGAAAAAAAAAAGAGAGACAGTTGACCTTGGGTGTTTCTTTCTTTGTTTTCTTTCTTCTTGCTGCAGCAGCAGCAGCTCTCGGCGTCTCCTTTCTGTCTCCAACAAAGACAAAGCAGCATCGACATCTGCTGCAGTGTAGCCCGGGAACAGCACCCGCAGCTGCTGCTGTGTTATTGTTGCTGCGGAGACACCCCGCGGGGGGGACGCAGCAGACACCGACACACGCACTGGCTCCCCACAAGCAGCAGCAGCAGCAGCAGGAGCAGCAGCAGCAGCAGCAGGAGTAGTAGTAGTAGCTCCACCAGATGCTGCTCCTGCTCCTGCTCCTGCTGCAGCAGCAGCAGCAGCAGCAGCAGCAGCAGCAGCAGCAGCAGCAGCTTGTTTTTTGCGGTGTCTCTCCAGCAGCTTGAGTGCAGCAGCAATTTTTGCGAATTTTTCTTCTGCTGTCTCCTCGCGATCTGTCTCCAAACCAACACGCAGCTGCTGCTCTTTCCACTGACGCAGCCGACGCACCTCTGCTTCAGGCCGTGTTGTTAGCTGCAGCCTGCAGCAGCAGCAGCAGCAGCAGCAGCAATAGCAGCAGCAGCAGCAGCAGCAGCAGCAGCAGCAGGAAAGAGAGCAACAGTGAGTTGTCTCCTGTATCCTTGGCATGCATGCAAAAGGAGACTGCTACTGTCTCCTTTGCGTCGCAGCAGCCTTTCTTTGGGGCCCCACTGTCCCCTGTAGCAGCAGCAACACTGGGTGTGGGGGTGGAGACAAAAGGAGACAGAAGGAGACAGCGGGAGACAGAAGGAGACAGAAGGAGACAGCAGAGAACAAATGGAGACAGGAGGAGACAGACGGAGACAGCAGAAGACAGCAGAGAACAACAGAAGGAGACAGCAGGAGACAGCACGAGACAGAAGGAGACAGAAGGAGACAGAAGGAGACAGCAGGAGACAGCAGCAGACAGACGGAGACAGCAGCAGACAGGGGGTGTGGGGTGTGTGGCAGCAGCACCTGCCGCGTGCTGCATCGACATCCAACACACGGAGACCCTTTACGGTGTCTCCTGTGCTGCAGCGCAGAATTTCGTTGGGGGTTTTGCTGCTGCGGCTTGATTGTCTCCTTGCTGCTGCTGCTCACTGCATGCAAGAAAGCATCCTCCACAGCCCCAACGTCAACGAAGATGCAGACGTC